AAAAAAAAAAAAAGGATTAAAAAATTCTTCTACTATTTATGTTCGTCTCTAAAAATTTATACTTAGTAAGGATGTGATATAAATGAGAAATATATAGGCGATTGTGTGAGTATGTATGTTTGCATGAGTGTTTTGTGTGTTTGTGTATATGTTTGTTTTTATGTGAGTTTGCTTGGTCGTATATGTGTATATGTGTTTAGTGCACAGGAGGAGGAAGAAAATTTATCATAATTGGGATAGCAATTCAGGATAGCAAGAGAAAGAGTGACAGAAAGACAGAGAAAGAGAGTGAGAGAGTGAGTGAGAGAGAGAGAGAGAGAGAGAGAGAGAGAGAGAAAGACAGCGAGCGAGATATAGAGAAAGAGTGAGAGAGAGAGAGAGAGGAGAATTTCTCATTTTTAATTAGTTTTAGTTTTAGTTGTTGGTGTCACCTTTTGGTTGTGCCTCATTAACTGCCTGTCGTATTTCATTGATTAATGTTTTACAATTAATTGCTGCCACAGACTGAGTCTTATTTATTTCCGTATAATCATCGCTGGAATGTCGTGATGAACCATCACCACCCATACGTCTGTAATGCAAATAAAAAAAAAATAAATAAGGAAAAATTAAAGACATTAAGGAAAAACGTAAGATAAGGCACTAAAAATACTTTGATATTTTGAAGGCAAAGACAAATTGAAATCGACTAAAGCAGCAACTTGTACGAATAGAACGCTTACTTTACTCTCTTTTGTGTTATTTGTTATATTTGTTGACGTGAACTCGAACTCTTTTCTTTCGTCCCGCTAAAGAAATACGCAAACATAGTTTGCTTTTAGACCCGAATATGGTCCTTACAGCCAAACACAAGTATTACACCTATACGTAAATAGAGTTTGAGTTCGTTTAATCATTTCTGCGCATAAAATAACTTAAGAGAAATGTCATCATTTCATCATTCTTCAATTTGATCATTTCGTTTTTTTTTTTTTTTTTTTTTTTTGAATGAGTTCTGAAATTTCAAAAAATCCATTTTTGTATCCGAAAGATATTTTGTTTATTTTGTAATTTGTCTGCCAACGTTCAGAATGAAGCTACTACTGAGACCCTATAGAATATGTGTACTCAAATTGTGAGTTGATTTAATCATGTCCGTCTGTCCATCTGTCCGTCTATTCGTTCGTGTAGTGGTCGACTGTGGTAAAGCTATCGGCTTTAAATTTATCAAAAGCGTTGAAAGTCATTACATGCAGGTTGGTATTGAAAATGAACCAAGTCGGCCAAGGGATGTGCCGATGACAAACCGGGAATATTAAAGCATTCAATTTTTTTTCGCTACTTTTACTACTCATAAACTACAACAGATGTACAACGCGAAAAATTTGCGTTAGGTATAAAAAGATTTGTCCTTAACTAAGTACCGTTTTTTTACTTGTTTTCGTTGCTTTTTATTTACACATGTACAACATGTCAGGAATATTTTTTGAAGGTTTGCGATTAATTACAATAAAACTTGAGTAAAAAGTTTCTATCGAAATTCCTACTACTACCGTTGCTTTATCTACTACTACCACCGGTACTGCTACGAGCTGTTTTCTTAAAACTCCATTTTTGAAATCCTTTAGAGCTGATTACCCAGAAACCGAAGCACCTATCTTAACGAAATTTTCTACACTTTTCTTAGCTAGGATTAACTAATAATTGAATGCAAGTCTTTTTTTCTTTTCCTTTCGTTGATTACAATTTACTTTAGAAGTTAGTATTTATTATAGGTTTTACCAAGGATTGCATTTGTTTGCATTACAATGCTATCAAAAATTCGAATACATTTCTTTTTTTTTCAGCCTTTGAAAGTCATGTGATGTTAACCGGCCACTTTAAAATTTCCTAAATTTTATATTTATATGATACTTCAAATTGAATTTTAGTATTACGAATGCATATACGTGCATGGTCGGAGTCTCTTCTTTACAAATAATAGAAATAGTCTAGCACAAGAGTTTAGTATAAAGTCTCTTACAGTACATTTATGAATAACAGTAATATACAATATTGTACAGTATGGGATCGAATCACAGACAGACGTAAGGCAGAAGGCCTTAATAAGCCATCCCATGTGTGATAACGAATTTCAAAATTTTACAGGATTAATAACAAATAGATAGACTTGATGATGATAAATACTAATGATCAGACAGGATTAAATTCGTCGTCCGTTCAGATTTAGCAAATCGCATTTTCTTTTATAAATACTGCGGTATTCGAGTGCGATTTGCGAATGAGCTAATGAAGAAAGACTAGACTTTTGATCTTAAACTATGCTTGAAGATCGAAATCAAAAACCTTCAGCGAAAACTGTGATATTTCTTCGATGTTTACGTTTTCCGCTTTCAAAAACGTATCTTGCTCAGTTATTAACAACAGCCCGCAAATGATTGCTAGAACATGATACCTATATAGTATCTGTCTACGCCAGACCATATCTATGCAAACAGCTTGCTTATATCCATTCATATATATATTTATTTCACTTTCCCTATCAAAATAAATGGAATAAGTAATTATTTTTAGCTTTCTTAACAGCGTACAACAGGAGCTTCATACCTAATGCCAGAAATATTCCCTCCTCCTATACCATAACATATATTTTATTCGCTAATTCATTAGGCGAATTAGTTAGATCCGTTTTATATACATTATGCTAATGCATGCATGTGCTTATATCGTATATGGCGGCCTTTTCTAATGAAACGAAAGCCAAGAGTTTGAGTTCGTAGCAGACAATAACGAAAGGAGAGAAAGCGTTCTGTTCATACAAGTTGTTAAGTACGTTAAGTCTCTTTCAACTTTTCTCAAAAAAATATCAACACACGTGATAGTTACATATATATTATATATGAAATTTAAAAAAAAAACTTTTTTTCATTATTCATTTAAATTTCAAAAAAAAAACACTCGGACAAGACCTTTAACCATTTCACGTCTCCTCAATTGGCTTTGCTACGATTTAAACACCGACAGATTATACGCCCGTACGTGTGTGAACATAGAAGTAATCGCATGTTTAACACAAGTCACTGCCAAACTATTTAACGAGAGAGCGAATGTACCGTTTTTGGGTACACCCATGCTAGCAAATTTAATAATATTATATAATTATATATTTATTTATTGTTTTTGTACTCGTCACCGAAGGATGAGAGCTATATTCATTTTGTCAAAACGTTTGCAACGCCCAGAAGGAAGCATCCGAGAAGCATCCCAGAAAGTAAATATATACTTATGGTCAGCTTGAAATTCTAATTCGATTTAAAGATGTCCGTCTGTCCGTCTATTGCAAATAGTCTTCTGGCCGGAAAAATGACGCTATCGACGCTATCAAATTTGACAGAAACGTCGCAAATTCTTGCACGGAGGTTGATAGTGAAAATGGGCCAAATTGTTTGAAGCAGGTACCGACAATACTACGTAAACTGAGAACACCTCTGTTTTTCAAAAGGAATGAAAAATTGGTTTTTTTACTCACGTCTATAGCAAAGAAATGCATAAATATGTAAACGTACATTCTGTGGGTGATGCTGTAGCATTTGTGCATAAAAATAAAATAAATTGACCACGCCTACTTAGTATTGTGGTGTGTTAAGATTTAATTTTTTCTTAATTCAATAACGCGCAGAGATAAGTTTCAGAAGCTCCAATAACTTCATCAGTTTCAAATTTGGAATGCACCTAAACATATCCGTCTGTCCATCCGTCTGTTTTCCCACCTTTCGACCGTGCCCACTCCATATTAGAGAGCATGAAAATTTAGTTCTTTTACTTTTTTTTAGCCTTTTTTAGGGGTAAACCGTGATGGATATAAAAAATTCGGTCCCAAGAAGAAAAAATTGATATTTCGCCAAGCGGCGTGTACCTTTCATCTCATAAATGTCAAACGCATCACATAAGCTACGGATAGCAATAATTAATTTTTAGGTTCGCATACTTTAGTTTAAATATATAAACATGTCATAATCGTGCAAGGCCGACAAATACATCATACCCTAAACCATTTCTCCTAAAACAAATCTCTATTCATTTTCGTAATACTACCCCAAGAAGTATAACTTAGTTTTCATTTAAAGAATTTTGCTTCATAGAAGCCTTTATATTGGAGTAAGTCCGAAACTTGAACCGATAAGCTTACGCAAATTATCAAATTTGTTGTTCTTGTTGAAGATTTTCTTATTCTTCCATCCATTTGCATCCCTGAAAAACTACAAATTACATGCGATAAGCTGGAAAAAAACGACCCAAGTCGTTCAAGATCGATAAAAATCATTCTTATAGCGTTTAACTATTATTATCATAGTAAAATATTAAGAGGTAAATTTTTTTGGCATATAAAGATTAACGTTAACTGAGAAAGGAAACAATTTTTTGCTGAAACAATTGTTTTTAAAAATAAACGTATATGGAAAGTAGTTGGAAAAGTCATCGGATCTAATCCATTGTCAATAGGATGCATTCTTATGTCCAAAGAGTTTAGTGAGTCAAATTTCTTCAAAGTGTCTTAAAAATTGTGATCTATAGGTTAAACAAAAAGAAAATGCATAGGACAGGCATCAGACAGAGGGACATGCCGGTTCAGGGAATGACTCTTCATCGATTGTTATGATAAGGTGAGCCTATCTTAAGCCCTTCTGGTTGGCATATACATTCACACAAACTTAATAAACTCTAACATATCCTATACCATAAATGACTGGCGTAAAAACTCATTTAAGCATGTACTGAAAGCAGTACACGTGGTAGTGAACATGTTAAAAAAGAACTTTCAGTCCTTATGGGACGAAAAGAAGAAAAAAACTCAAATACTGAAATCTTTTCCAAGATCTTAAGCACTTTGGTCATGTTAATAAAACAGAACAGCGACGTACAACTATTTAGACGATCGCTTTAAAAGTAAAGAATATGCTTGATTATATAATTACGTTGTATTATCATGTTATATGATGCTTACCTTTCTCTCTCGGTCAAAGCTTGATTCAATTGTTCTGTAAATGATGACGGCTGCAATTTACCGCCGCCGGTTATAACAGCTCCTGTTGGTCCCACACGTCGACGACTAGGATACATCCAATTATCTGTGGACTGTTCATTTTCAGATAGTTTATCGTTCGATCCTAAAATGGAATCGTACGAGCTATTGAGATCACGATTTGTGGTGCCGAATGTGGTCATGCCGCCACGATGGAAATCATTTGGACTGGCATTGTCACCGGGCGAGCCCACACTATTTTTGAATAGACCTTTGTGATCCTTATGAACTTGAGCGTATAATTGATTAATTTGCTGTTCACGTGCAGTTACAGTAGTAGCAACAGTTGAGACTGCGGTTGCTGCGCTAACCGCAGCCACTACGCTAGAGTTAGTTGACGATGATGAGGAGGTGGAATTAAGTAATATGGCCGTTGTGGTACCCGCTATACCCGTGCCTAGTAATTGCTGTTGTAACATTTGATGATGTGACTGATGATTATGACCGTTACTCAACAAATTATGATGCATTTGAGATGATGAAATTTGTTGTTGTTGTACAACAACTCCATTCGTATGGGTGAGATCATGGGTTGAGTTATGTTGTTGAGCAGCCAACAGCAAAGCGGAAGCATCATCTTCGCTATCATCCAAAGCGCAATCTGAACTGCTATTGCTAAGCGTGCGTTTCGATAAATTGTTAGTACTATTGGCAGCAGCTACCGTGGTAGCGGTAGTGACATTAGAAGCGCTACTACTGGTGTTTGAATTGCTGGTCGAGGGCAATTGACGATTTGCTAAACCACCACGGGAAGCTTTCGTTTAGATGTTTTTGTTTTTTTGAGTGGGTTTTTATTTATTTTTAATTAATTTTTTTTTATGGTGTTTTAAATATAAATGCGCGTAAAAATAAAATAAAAAAAAATAATAATTTTATAATAATGAAAATGATGAATGACAAGACGCGGTTTGAAAAACAGAAATTGGTTTATTTTTTTTTTTTTTTCATTTTTGTTTTTTGAAATAATATTTTGAAGTAGTTGTTAAGGTGAATTGTT